GACTAGATGACCTTTGGAGGTCCCTTCCAGCCTGGACAACTCTATGATTCTATGATTAATGTTAGCCCTCACAGCAACATTTAAGACAGTTACTGTAACTGGAACACAAACACAAAATGAGAAATACCCCACGGCACCATGTGAGCAGAACACTTTTCTTTGTGAAAAATTAACACGGTCTTCACACTGAAGTTTGATTTCTCTATTTACTTCACTGTTTGCTTCGCTCAGCCACCTCTATGGAGCAAACAGCTCCACGTTCACGCGCTCAGACAAGAGCTAAACAAACAACAGCTATCAGCAGGTTTTAAGCACAGGCACCAATCCCCCCACGCCTGGAGCTCCCAGATGTTCACCAGCCAACCTCAGCCAGGTGCTAAGGTTAGAACAAGAGCCCATCCACCCAGATGTAAAAGGAAGCCCTGATTAGTTCTGGGTTAGCACTGTCTCCTGGCTGGCGAGGTGCATCGCCAGCGTGCAGGACGACAGTGGAGCGGTGCCAGTTCTTCATGGGTAAGTGCTGCTCTCTGGAAAACCCCATCCTTTAATCGCTCCCAAGCTACAACAGCGTGACAGAAACTATTCCCATGTCATGCGTATAAACAAATCCCACAAATGAAGAGTCTGGTTTTTTCTAATTGATTTTTACGTGTGTATATATGCAGATACACACACCCACGATGGCAAAATGTCAGGTGAAACAATTACTGAATAAAGAAATGTTTTAGAATGGTAATTCTTACTAATCAAAGAAAATTATCTTCAAGCAAATGCTTTCTTCTCTAGATGTGGCTTCTGCTTTGACTGAATGAGCTCTGGCTTCCTTCTTTTCCTGCAAGTTTCAGAGATGCATGGCTTAATTCCTTGATCGCAAGATGCATCAAGCAGCTTTCTTTTCTCTTACTGCGTGATGAAAAGGGAGATTGATTCTCTGTACGAGGACAGCTTAAATTAACCAGCGGCATTTGCCATTCCCTTTCTTCTACATTTTTTTTTTTAAGTCATTCTGGCCTTTTTTCTTTTTTTTTTTTACATCCCCCCTTCTCTGTTGCTGGCCTTACTTCCTTCATTTTCCAGTGGGAACGAAGAGCACTTGGCACATGCCTGAGATGGACAGTGCCGAAGCATGATTAGCAATGATTAGCATGTGCAGGGGAGGGAGAAGCAGGTGAGGGGAACTCCTCAGAGGAGAGCTGTACCCCAGCTGGGGTGTGGGAAGGAGCCAAGCACATCACATCCACCTCGGTGGATGACACGATGCAGATCCCAGTGTTGCAGAGGGCTCCCTGCTGCCACAGGCAGCAACACTGTCCACTGTAAGGTCCCACTGCACCCATGGGTCCCCTGACAGCAGCTTACCGGGATCCCATGTCAGAGGCTGACACCAGAAGGAGCAGCTCCTGCCCGTGGTGTGGGCATGCTGCCGGGACAGCCCATCAACATACAACACTGTCCACTGTAAGGTCCCACTGCACCCATGGGTCCCCTGACAGCAGCTTACCGGGATCCCATGTCAGAGGCTGACACCAGAAGGAGCAGCTCCTGCCCGTGGTGTGGGCATGCTGCCGGGACAGCCCATCAACATACCAGCACTGGTTTGGGAGGGCTGGGCAGAGCATCAGTACCACTTCTGAACTCTAAAGCAGGTACTGGTTTCACAGAATCACAGAATGATAAGAGGCTGGAAGGGATCTTTGCAGATCATTTAGTCCAACCCTCCTGCCAAAGCAGGTTCACCTAGAGCAGGTTGCACAGGAACACATCCAGGTGGGGTTTGAATATCTCCAGAGAAGGAGATGCATGTCTGGGCAGCCTGTTTCGGTGCTCTGTCACCCTCAAAGTAAAGAAGTTCCTCCTCATGTGGAGAAAGAATTTCCTGTGTTCCAGTTTGTGCCCATTGCCCCTTGTCCTGTTGCTGAGCTCCCCTGAAAAGAATCTGGCCCCATCCTCTTGACACCCACCCTTTAGATATTTACAAGCATTGATGAGATCCCTTCTTAGTCTGCTCTTCTCCAGGTGAAACAGATCCCAGGTCTCTCAGCAGTCCCTTGATCATCTTTGGTTCCTTCTTCTTGTCCCTGGATGCTCCTAATTCACTCAGTCCTACTGCTCAAATCTCCTGCTCCTGCACAGTCCTTCCCCACCAGCGGCCCCGGCTCTGCCTGGTGCAGCAGCCTGGAGCACAACCCATCGGGTCTGACCCAGGATGGACACAGGGCCTGCACCCTGGCCACAACCCAGCCAGCTCTCCATGGGCACACCAGACCCTGACAGCTCTGGGGACAATGCCACCATAAGCAAGTATGCAGGAAGCCACTGGCTGGGGGCTTGCTGCAAGTCCCAGGTGCACAAATTCAACAACCTGGGGAGAAGCAGATGGAGAAGGACAGTCAAACACTGCAACAGGCCACCTAGAGAGGTGGTGAATGTCCCAAGCCTGTCAGTGCTTACGAGGCATTTGCATGATGGCCTTAACAACATGCTTTAACTTTTGGTTAGCCCTGAAGTGGTCAGGCAGTTGGACTCCATGACCCTTGTAGGTCCCCTCCAACTGAGAAAAGTCTATTCTATTCTAACGAAGCTGAAATTCAATCACACGGCCCTGGTTTGTTAGGGGAGAGGGTTGTTAAACATAGGCCAGTTGGCAAAAGCCGTGCACCCACCTGCACCCAGGTCCTCCTGTGGGGGGTGAGGGTGCTCCCCTCTGATGTGACTCATGGATGGTGCCTGGGATGGCAGCTGCTGCAGTATTCCCTGGATGCTCCTAATTCACTCAGTCCTGCTGCTCAAATCTCCCACTCCTGCACAGTCCTTCCCCACCAGCAGCCTTGGCTCTGCCTGGTGCAGCAGCCTAGAGCACAACCCATCGGGTTTGACCCAGGATGGACACAGGGCCTGCACCCTGGCCACAACCCAGCCAGCTCTCCATGGGCACACCAGACCCTGACAGCTCTGGGGACAATGCCACCATAAGCAAGTATGCAGGAAGCCACTGGCTGGGGGCTTGCTGCAAGTCCCAGGTGCACAAATTCAACAACCTGGGGAGAAGCAGATGGAGAAGGACAGTCAAACACTGCAACAGGCCACCTAGAGAGGTGGTGAATGTCCCAAGCCTGTCAGTGCTTACGAGGCATTTGCATGATGGCCTTAACAACATGCTTTAACTTTTGGTTAGCCCTGAAGTGGTCAGGCAGTTGGACTCCATGACCCTTGTAGGTCCCCTCCAACTGAGAAAAGTCTATTCTATTCTAACAAAGCTGAAATTCAATCACACGGCCCTGGTTTGTTAGGGGAGAGGGTTGTTAAACATAGGCCAGTTGGCAAAAGCCGTGCACCCACCTGCACCCAGGTCCTCCTGTGGGGGGTGCGGGTGCTCCCCTGTGATGTGGCCCATGAATGGTGCCCGGGATGGCAGCTGCTGCGGTGCAAACATGGCACACAAAATCCCTGGGTGCACAAGGGGAGTACCCTCAAGGGATTCTTCTCCCCTTGGGCTCATTCCCCACCATGGCATCTGCACTCGCTGGCACAGAGCAGCAGCATCACCGTGGTCTGCGTGATCAGCTGCTGGCAAGAGGAAACACCGAGCAACCAGGACTTTCACACAGGGATGTGTGATGCTATCACCTTCCTGAACAGATGCTGAGAGTTAATTTTCCATAGCTTTTTTTTCTGCTTTGAAACATTAAGGTCGCTGAGTGCCACAAATGCTCGGCTTGCTCCTGATATGGAAACATGAACATTTTATTCTGATCAAGCAGACGCCAAGTTTTTATCAAGGATACACTGTCTCTCAAAAATACAGTGCTGTTTCTCAAGCACGCTTACAGCCAGCCAACCTGAAACTCCGTGTAGTTTCGCTCTTCAACATGCTTTAACTTTTGGTTAGCCCTGAAGCAGTCAGGCAGTTGGACTCCATGACCCTTGTAGGTCCCCTCCAACTGAGAAAAGTCTATTCTATTCTAACGAAGCTGAAATTCAATCACACGGCCCTGGTTTGTTAGGGGAGAGGGTTGTTAAACATAGGCCAGTTGGCAAAAGCCGTGCACCCACCTGCACCCAGGTCCTCCTGTGGGGGGTGAGGGTGCTCCCCTCTGATGTGACTCATGGATGGTGCCTGGGATGGCAGCTGCTGCAGTACAAACATGGCACACAAAATCCCTGGGTGCACAAGGGGGTACCCTCAAGGGATTTTTCTCCCCTTGGGCTCCTTCCCTGCCATGGCATCCTGCACTCGCT